AAAATTGACCCACAGCCGACCTGGAGCTCAGGAACGCCGATGAACGTCATCTACGTAGAACTCACGCGGGGAAGGAGAGAAACTTGGGACCCGGGAATTTTTTGGGTCGCTTAATTCAAATATGGCATCGGCGAACACCCCCCGGACGCCTGGTGTGCCGGAACCTGGACGTCATCCACGATAATTTTCCTGACAAGATCGCCAAAAACAACTAGAAAATCATTGTGGGGGCGTTTTTTTGGGGCGCTGAATCCAAATTTCACGTCAAAAATGACCCCTGAACACCTTGTGCACCGGAACCTGAACGCGGACCTCATCTCCGTAAGTTTTCCTCACACAATCGAAAAAGACGAACCGAAAATCGTTATGGGTGCGCTCGAACCTGGAGGTGGACGTCATTCCTAAGAATTTTCCTGGCAAGATCGCCAAAAACAACCCGAAAATCATTATGGAGGCGTTTTTTGGGGTGCTGAATCCGAATTTCACGTCGAACACGACCCTCCCAACTCCTGGTGCACCAGACACGCTCGCAAAAGACTAACCGAAAATGGTCTTATAATTTCACATTCATTGATGTGTAACTCTCGCCTAGGCCCTCGAAAAAGTTGATCCAGTCCTGTAAAATTCTAAACGCCGGGTTTGAATAGAGCGAGGAGAATTACGAGAATAATCTCCGGCTAGATTTCTTTACTCCTCACATAAATTAACTAGAACCAACAATTTCACACAGCTATTGCAGTATTGACGTCCGTTTCTAAAAGATCAGGTTTGGTTGACATTCATGGGAATGACACCGATGTCAAGATAAAGGTTCTGGTGCACTAGGTGTTCAGATGATCGTTTTTGACGTGAAATTTGGATTAAGCGCCCAAAAAACGCCCCTACAATGAATTTTGAGTTGTTTTTGGCGATCTTGTCAGGAAAATTCTCTGGGATGACGTCCACGTCCAGGTTCGAGCGCACCAGAGGTGTCAGGGGGTTTTGTTCGCCGATGGCACATTTGAATTCGGCACCCCAAAAAAAAACCCATAACGATTTTTGGTTGTATGAGGAAAACTTACGGAGATGAGGTCCGCGTCCAGGTTCCGGTGCACCAGGGGGTCGTTTTCGACGTGAAATTTGGATTCAGCGCCCCAAAAAACGCCCCCACAATGATTTTCGGGTTGTTTTTTGGCGATCTTGTCAGGAAAATTCTCGGGGATGACGTCCACGTCCAGGTTCCGGCACACCAGGTGTCCGGGGGGTGTTCGCTGATACCATATTTAAATTCAGCGACCCAAAAAACCCCCGGGTGCCGAGTTTCTCTCCTTCCCCGCATAAATTTCGGGAGAGTCCCACGGAGGTGACGTTCATCGGCGTTTCTGAGCTCCAGGTCAACAGTGGGTCAATTTGAACATCATAATCGTGATTAGCGACCTCGAAAACCTCCGAGAAGCAAAATTGGACTAGTTCTAACTCTTATTTACAAAGTTTTTTAATCTCCCAAAAGCCGTCTCAAAAAATGCATTTTTGGCTGCAGCAATGCAATTTCCAGTTTGTATAAGATAAAAGTATTGACATTTTTTCCAAAAAAATTTTGGAAGCGAATGCAAAAAACCGCATTCCGATCCGTCTTAGTCTAAAAAATTCCGAATTATTGGCCTTTTTGGTGCTTCATTGCCTCGACTATTTGTGTATTAGTGCGGAATATATTTTACGAGCTTTTAACTCGAATTGCACATAAAATTTTTTTACGATCTGTTCTTTTAAGAAATAGGTAGGTATAATAAAGAAAAAAAATTATGAAAAAGTAGTTAAAGTCAATGCGTTAAATAGATAATAAAATACCAGAGACACGATATTTAATATTTAAAATATTTAACGATTTAATACCTATACGTACAATTTAATAATTGTACCTATACAGGGTGAATCGTACGTTGATACTTTATTTTACCTATGTATACTCGTAGAAGTCATTAAAATAAACAACTTTTTCAAATAACTTCAAAAAAATAAAAAATAAGGAACTTACAATAATTATGTATCCAATACGGTCCATTCAACTCAACACAAACGTCCTTCTGAAATTTCGTCTATACGATTAAGATGACTCGAGAATGGTTTAATTCACAATTTGTTTCAATATAAAATGTTTTTACAATTAAATATTAAATTATTTAAATTTAAAAAATATGAATTTTTGACATTGCTCTGACATTTCATGTATCATTCCACTGCGTTCCGATAACATGTATTACAAATGTCACTCACTGCGTTCTGCATTGGGATTCTCATCTTTGTTGAGACGACTATCTTCATTCCACAGAATGCGATTCGTATGTAATGTCTCTCTCTATTCGATTCGTTACGTGTTGAGTACGCACATAAGAATCCCTATCCAGATATCATGTATTACAAATGACACATATAAAATAAGAAAAGCATAATTCGTGCAATTTCAATTTTAAGTCGCGAAATCATAGTTGCTTTGGATTTAAGAGTTAGTTGTTTTAATAATTCAGTTTGGTGAATTAATGCGATTCAAATAAACAAATAAAAATAAAAAAAATAAATAAAACTAAAAAAACAAATAAAAATAAATTAAAATTAATAAAAACTATTAATAATAAAATGCAATAAAAAATAATTAAAATCAATAAAAATTAAAAGTTAATAATAATTAATGAAAACTAATAAAAATTAATAAAAATTCCGGGTCAGCTAGTTTAACATAATTTTTGAATCAGAATTCGCTAATATACGTCGACAACCAAACGGCGGATATTACTATTCAAATTTTACAGAAAGTTTCTATACACTTTGAAATACACTGTATACAACAATTATGGGCCCGCTAACATTTAAAAAAATGTGTTTTTTACCTTAAAAGCCTCAAAATGTGTTGTCCAGTCTCGGCCATAAAAATGTGATTTACCTAAATCATTTTGATAATTGATTTCTTGTAAAAACGGCTGAATATCAGTATTACTATTAGACAATAATTCAAAGAACAATAAATCATACAAAAATTTTTTGTTTTTATAATTTATTTTTCATTTTTCGAATTGTTAGGAGAAAAATAAAAAGTTATTTATTTTCAATGACAATGGGCGTTTCTATAAATGCAGCATTGTCAAATCGAGTAAGAAAAAGTATATAACAGGAAATAGGTCGGTTATTGAATATTGGCTGTTTAACAATGGCTCTAGGGCTTACAGCATATAGTCTGTTCGCTATACTTACGCGGGTTTCGGATTAATATTTGCAATATTTGTAACAAATTTAGTACCTACCCTAATGTTATTTTAATTTAAATCTGATCATTAGGGCAATTTTACCTAATTTCTTGGGAAGATGCTTATTGGAACTGGTTATCAATGACTAATTTGCATAATTTTGTTAATCCGAAACCCGCGTAAGTATAGCGAACAGACTGTAACTATAAAATCTGAGCGAAGTCGGGGGATGTCTGAAATAAGTTCACGCAGTGGCTCTAGGCCATACAGTGAAGCCGATAGATTTGAGCGAAGCCGGAGTATGTTTGAAAAAAGGCAACAGGTGCAAAGCAATGGTGCCAGGTTTGATCGATGGCACATGTTAGGTTGGCTAAATTTTTCTCATTTTATGTATATTTTTTTTGCAAAGCAACTTTTGCGGTGACTCTAGGCCGCACAGGTTAGGTTAATTAGTTTCTTTTTAAATTTTTCTTATGACTTTATTAGTCACTTCAGCAGAAAAAGTTTCCTTGGCGCGGATTTGAACCCGGGACCTTCGTCACCGGAGACAAGCATTTTACCACTGCGCCACTATAACTCTTTGTTGTATTATTTATATTTGTAATTTTTCCATAAAAATGAATGCTAAATTACAACACTACCAGTTTTTATTATAAAAATTATATAAATACTTTATAATTTAAATATAATTATAATAATTCTTGTAAATTATGCTTACTTTAATCATTAGAAAAATTGAATCCGGAGCCTTTTTGAGAAAAGTTATTATGTGATCTTTTTCGAAAATGTTTGATTTTTTAGCCTTGTACCCCTTGCTCTTGTTTTTTACAAAACTAACTAATTTATAATATTTTGATATGTCAATATTATTTTTGATTTTTAAAGTTGTTTTAACATGTTGTGGATGGATTATAGTGTTTTAATTCACTTGAAAAATATGTCACCAGGACATTTTCTCTTGGTAATTTTATTTCTTTTACACCATTCGAACTATGGTTCGCGCGAATTCGCTTGCAGTGTAACCGTAGCCTTAGGCGAGGATAAGAGAGATAGCAGAAAATTACTAAATATCAAAAGTTCCGCGCTTTTTTCGAGAATAAGTAATGCGAAATTGTCGAATAGTGGGAAATGAGGCTAGTTCTTTTAACAAATATAAAGCACGTTAAAACACAAAATAATACATAATGTATTAGCAGCGGTTCACTGTTAACAGAATGCTGAATGCGTTCCAGCAAAAAAACTCCTCTCGCCGCCGCAACCGGCTGGCCAATAGCAGCCGGGCTTGTACGCGATTACGTTCGTATCACGCGGCTAGTTGTATTTACGCGTCACTTGCGTTTAAGTTAAGTAGCAAAAATACAATAATAACCATCTACGCATTATGAGAAGAAACCGCAAATATCCGCACCTTAATATGTAAGGTTCACATGAACTGTTCATAAATTATACATAATTAAAATCAATCGAGCGCTAGAGCGACAAATCTGTCACTTTATATCAGTATGCGGAAAACATGAATTCTGGGGGTTAGAATGAATTCGAAGTACAAAATCTACTTTGGATAGTGGTAGAAGAAACAATTCATAACCAAATTTACAAAATATTTATTTATCACAAAGGTTTAGTATTTTACAAAAATACTCACTATTTAACAAAACAAATATAAAAACAACATATTTGAATTTCAAAATATAAATAAGGTATATATCTCCAAAGAAATATATTGGCTCGACTTAGGATGGATATGCCATAAAAAATATTCGTTTAAATCGTAATTCAAGGTTCTTAATAAAGGACCCTGTGGAGCCTGTTTAGTGTTTACTTCAAAACTTTACTTCATATCAGTATTTTCTTGTAGACCTGATCTTAAAGAATAAATTAGAGCAAATACTTCGAATATAAACATAATGAAGTACAAATCAGAAATACGGATTCATATTTTTTTACAATCACTTACTTTTAATTGTCTGCATCAGCTTCAATAATTTCCTGTTCTACGTCACTTATATGAGACTTTGAAAATTTTTCATAAAGGGTTTTAATAGTTTCAGGCTCGTCGTCACTATCACTGAATATAATATATTCAATATTATTATCCTCGATATCTTCATATGATATAGTTTCTTTCAGACAGTCCTGAAAATACATCAAATTTAACAAAAAGGAATAATTAAAAATAAAGCTAAATGACAAGCTCCCTCAACCAATCACAACAATAACACACAGCTGCTAGCTTTTCGACAACACACTTGACGAACAGAGACCTACTCCGACCTTCAAGAGAGTAACACCTTTTGTTTTATTCTTTTACGTGCTCGTCGTTTTTATTTAAAAACAAATGAAAGATGTTTCAAACCTGCATGTAAAAATGCAAAAAAAATAACAAAACACTTGAAGTGTCTGAAATGCCTCAGTGATATAAAAAAACGCTTTAAAATAGGGGAAAGTCGAAATGTATTCATTGCCTCTCCGATGAGTACTGCAGATTCATCCTTGAAAGGTATGTAAATATTTAGTAGAGAGTATGATGTATGGTAAACTATATATTTGTATCAAAAAGCATTTAAAAAAAAGTAGCTGAAGAGGTATAATAAGTTTGTTGTATTTTATTGCCTGAATAGATATTTTATTTAAAAATAAACAGTGATGGGTTTACTTTAAAGGATGTGAGTGTAAGGGGAGAAGGGCAAAATTTAAAAATTAGAACCTTATTTACACGGAGGGTTAAAGGGGCTTTTTTTGCTGAAGTTGAATTCAATTCAAGTCATAACAAAACATTTATTTTCAGATCAGGTTGAAGAGGACGAGGCTATAACTTCGACAACTGTCAGCATAACAGGTAGCGCATCAACTTCTAGTTTACGTAGGTTTATGGATTTCTCAAATAAAGAAGAGCAAGCACAGTTGGAACAAGTGTTTGCAAGGGCAATTTAATGATTCTGGAACACCTTTTGCAATCTCGGAAAATAAACATTGGCAGTTATTCTTTCAAAAATTAGGCCAACTTTTAAAATGCCTTCACGACATTCTTTGTCAAATAAACTTCTAGAATCAGAATAAGAAACAATCGCAGCCAACATAAAAGTTAAAATATGTGAAGCCAATGCTCTGGGTTTGCAGTGTAATGGTTGGAGCAACAGAAGAAACGAGGCCATTATTAATTTTATTATCACCACTGCTACACCTGTGTTTTTGAAAACTTTTACTACTGATACCAATCGACATACTGTAGAGTACATGGCAGAAAAAATAGAAGAAGTACTAATAGAAATAGGACCAGAAAACTTCATTGCTCTAGTGGCAGACAACGCCAGTGCAATGGTCAACGCCAGAAATATCATTCATGAAAAGTATAAACATACATCTGTTTACGGTTGCGTCGCCCTTACACTTAACTTATTGATAGGAGACATCTCAAAAATGAGAACGATGGCTTCGATAGAGGTCGATGTTAAAGCTATCGTTAAAAATTAATAACTCTCATACTGGCCACTTTAAAAAAAATCCAGACTGAAAAAAAGGAGACAACTGTGCCAATATCTTTGAAGTTCGCCGTCAAAACTCGTTGGGGATCAATTATGTACTGCTTAAAAAGTCTGCTTGATACGAGGGCTGTCTTTTAAGTTTTGCATATATACCTAGAATAAAACAGCAGATAGTGTTTAAACATTTTATTGTTTTTCAAAGTATTCTCCACGAAGATTAACGCACTTTTGCATGCGCTCGAACCAGCTCTGAAAGCAGTTATTCCACTCCTGAGGTGTCACAGCTCCAATGACTGTTTTGAATGCCTCAACTGCATCTTCTGGTGACTGGAACACTGATCTGTATTATTTTACTGGATAGGATATAGCCCCCTAAAAAACGTTCCGAAAAATTGGCCGATTTGGGCAAATAATATGGCGGACAGGATGTTATTTAACGTAACCTCTATTTCCATTTGTCATCACATTTGTCATTTAATTGTGTCAACAAGCTACGATGAGATGTTTTTATTGTGGAAAACAAAGTAAAAAGAGTATGAAATAAACAATAAACGTTTATTCCTGAAGACACAATATGCTTCACGTTTCCATTTTTATATTTTCTTTCATAAAAAATCAAATCATGGGTGAATTTTCCCGAAGGACATCGCCCGCAAAAGGAATAGAAGAAGAATAAGAAGAAAAACTAATCAAATTATAGGTTAGGTATGTCAAATTATCCCAAATTTCAGTTCTGTGAACCCACCATAATTTGCCCAAATCGGCCAGCATTGTTGCACTTCCGGTCTCCTTGGTGGAACGGTTTTTTAGTATGTTAAATATAGCCTATATCCTATCCAGTAAAATAATACAGATCAGTGGACTGGAACCGTTACCCACGCAGTGCGTTCTTGATTGTCGGAAAGGTAAAAAAATTGTTGGGACTTAAGTTGGGACTGTAAGGAGGGTGGCTAACAACTCGACGATTTGTTGCTCTAAGAAGGCAATTGTTTTGCGAGCTGTGTGCGCACTTACATTGTCTTTATGGAGGATGATTCATCGTTTGGGGTTGGTTTCCCGAAGCTTAGCGATGACTGCTGGCAAACAAATCATTATATACCAATCGGCAGTAACAGGCCTTTGCTCTTGCAGAGGAATTGTTGCAACATGACCTGCTTTGAAGACAAATGTAGCGACCATCTTTTTAGACACATTTCGAGAACGAATATCTTAGACCCGCGTTGAAATTGTGTTCATTTGAGCAACGAGGAGCAAATTCAGGGTACAGAGTTTATTGATTATTTAGTTACCTCAAAATATCCAGATGACTAGGCAAATTTAATGGCGGAATTGGCGTACTATAGATCTAAAGAAGGATTTTTTGCCAAACCACACGTTTTAAGGTCTTTCAATACACTAGAACCCGAGATTTGGTGGAAAGGAACCTGTTTTGGGACAAAACTAAGTAAATTAGCGGTTCAAATTTTAGGAATGCCTGCAACTAGCGCTGGTACAGAAAGCTTTAGCACATATGGTTTCATTCACTCCTCAAAAATAAACCGACAGCTGCGCGAGCCGGTAAAGTTACTTTTATAGATCATAATTTGAAACTATTGGACCAGGACACCAAGTATCAGCGATGTCCAAGTCCTCCAAGTATAAAGGACATGAAGAGAACCCGTCTACTTCGCACTACCAGACACAGGGTGGTCTTGGAGAAACAGAGACAGTGGAAATGATGTTGGAGTCTGACGGGAGTGATGGGTCGGAGTCGGACTCGTAAGAGGATGAAAATAGTGATGGTGATGTGGACAATTTTTCTGACTCAAATTGATTTATTTTTTTAAACTTAATTTTGTTTTGTTAGTCTGTTTAAGATTTTATTTTACAATTTTTATGCTTTTGAGAATTATATTTTGTTTTTTATTTGTCATCGAAAACGGAACATAAATGGCTTTATTTTGTTATTGTTTATGCTTCATCATAAATAAATAAAGTTTATTTAAACCCATGAGTTTCAAAACTGTTTTTCGTCAGGAATCGTTTACGACTAAGAACGCTTACTGGTGAACACTGTCGTTTTTTAATTAAATCGTTACACGATAAAAACAATGTAAATCGTAGTATTTTTGTTGTTGCTGGTGAGAGTTGTTAAAAGATGTATTCAATATTCCGCTCGAGTTTAGATGTCACCGTCATTAAATTTGAATTGGTTTTGGTAGATCGTTTTTAAAAAATTCTCATAATCGAGAATATTCTCCATTTTTTTAATCTCGAGAATTTTCCATCACTAGCTGAAGTAAACATTTTAATTCCAACATACCAAAACAAGTATCGGACAATAAACAAATAAAAATGATACATTCTACAAGCTATACAAGTCATACAGTCCACCCCGCTTCCAGCTGACAGGAAGGAATCCTTATTTCGGTGACGAAGATTAAAAGAAAAAGAAATCGACGTCACATGAAAACAAGGATTATAAAAAATGAAAGTGAGGTTGATTCTTATTTTAGTTTTTACTGTAATACTCGTATATATTTATGTAATTTAGAATAATGCAAAGCATAACAATTCACTATTTTTTTATTAGTTTAATTAAAAAAAAAAAGGAAAAATTATAATTTAGTTAATTAACTGATTATTTTTTCAGTGAAAATAATTTCAAATTATTTTTCCAATGACCATAAAAATAATAGCTTACCTTAAAACAATCTGAATATTTCAACTTTGGCAAAACGGTTTCAAATTTTTCGCAGCTTTCCTTCAGTCTATCATCTTTTACATGCAGCTTTTCCATCAGTTTATCACAGTAGGGACATACTATGGAATCCATTTCTTCTTCAATAGACTTGTGAATCATCGATTTACAAAATAGACATTTATATTCAGGTACGATAAAAATTGGCATCATTGAAATACAGCATCGGCTATCATAATGAGAAGGGAAACAAGTTGGGCCGAAAATCTGTGTTATGTTATTAAGGAATATTCAGTAATAATAATTTTAATTTACATTAGATAAATTGGACGAAAATTAGATTAACTCTGACTAACTCCCTAGATCAAATATTAGCGACTATTTCTCTAGAGAAATAGTCGTCCCAAATATAACACGACCTTGATTAATATTCTGCTATTTTTGTTGTTGCTAAATTTCTCGAACATTTTACAATTTGATTCTTCATAATTTTGGCATTAATAACCAATTGATTAAAGCTCTCGGGCTCTAATCAGATTATTAATGCCAAAAATTATGTATCAAATTGATATTAAAATATTCTTGAGATTTAGATTCGACAAAAATAATAGCTGACTATTATCAAGGTCTTAGTATATTACACTTGATTAAAATGTAGTTTGTTTGGTAAACTAAGGGAAATTTGGTTGGATATTTAAATCAAAGAAAAACCTTAAGTAATTCGTTTATTTGAAAATCTTATTTATGATGTGCAATTCGATAGGATATTGCCAAAAAACTTCCAAAATGGTATTTCTTTTATCAAGACAAAATTTCTTTATTGTTGAAGAATGAATTGAATTACACTCTTATTAACAAAGATAGCATATTAGATAATTCTTCAATATTCTCACTCTCCCAGAGTATCATCTGCATATATGTCTATCTATTAATATTGACATTAATAATAACATTAACATAAATTAAAAACAAAACCAGCCCCAAAACGGATCCTTGAGAAACCCCACAGTGAATTGTAGCAAGCGTTGATGTTTGCTTATTGAAAAAAACTCTTTGTACTCTAAGCTCCAAATAAGACTGGAACCACTTTAGAGCTATTCCTCGGAATCCACATCTTCCCAGCCAGCTCAGCAATACTTTGTGATTTACCCAGTCAAAAGCTTTGGATAAATCGCAAAATACTGCAGCAGCTACCCTGTTATCATTTAAAACAAGACATAATTGATCTAAAACAGAAAACATAGCATAGGTAGTTGAAACCCAAACTGGGATGTAGATAGCACTCAGAGATTTTCTTTCTTATCTTAACCAATTTTTCAATAATTTTGCGAAAGTGGGTAATAAAAAATAGGGTCGATAGTTAGAAGGACAATTATGATCACCACCACACAAGTATAACATTGGCTATTTTTAAAAAATCACTGATAGAACCTGCCCAAAATGAATGATTGATTGATTCTGCTAAACCATTTAACATATCTTCTGGAAGATGTGAAAGAAGATTAACTGAGATTTCATCCCAACCTGAGGAATTCTTTTTTGTTGGTATAAAATAAAATGAATCCTTTATATTTAGATTATTTAAATAAGACAAAGCATCAATCGAAGGAGTTATTTGAGTGGACAGACTTGGACCAACAGAACAATAAAAATCGTTGATTTCAGTAGGGTTTCAATTGGTGACCAAGGGTTTAGACCTTTTGCATATCACTAGCGACTTTGAAAATTCCGAATTGACAATTAAGCGTTATAACTTAATGCGCTGTGATTCAAACAGTAGGCACTCAGGAGGTATTCTTGTTTTTACAAGTAAATGTTTTAAAATATTTAACGTTGAAACACTTGTTATAAATATGAATTTTTGGCTTTTATCTATAAATGTAAAAATGAATAATACTACATATTGTGTTGCGGTTGTGTATAGATCACCTACGGGTAACTTGAGTATTTTTCTTGCAACATTTTTGAACTGGATGGATAATTATTATGAACAAAATAGTAGTTGTAGCGTAATCATTACAGGAGATTTTAATATTCACTATGATAAAAATTGCCAAGGGAAACAAAGATTACAAGAATGTATTGAAAATAACGGCATGAGACAATTAGTAACTGAATATACTAGAATATTTAAAGATTCTAAATCATAAAACATGCTGACTTTAAAAAAACTAGAGGTAAAATAGATTACGATAAAATGGTCAATATGTTGATTGAAAAAGACTGGGGATATTCATTTAATAACGTAAATATTGCTAGTGATATTTTCATGAATAACATATTATCTGATGAATGTTGTGTCTAAACCAAGTATTGTAAAGAAAACTAATAGTGTTAATCAATGGTTTGCTAATAATGGTAGAAAAGCTATTTCGGTTAAGAATAGAGCTTACAAAAAATTTGTTTTTACGAATCAGGTAGAGGATTGGAATAACTATAAGGAAACCAGAAATTCATCGGTTATAATTTTAAGGGAAGTTAAAATAAAATACTATGAGAAATCAATTGATGACAATAAGGGAAATCCGAAATTAATGTGGAAAAGTCTTAAAAAAAATAGTAGGTACTAAAAATACAGAAATAATATCAGAAACCTTACATTGTAATGGAATAATTTATAGTAATAATCTGCCAAATATTTTAAATCAGTATTATCTAACAAGTATAAATGACCTAGTGGTAAATATAGGAATAACTGGAATATGTGATGACGTCCTGCTTGATTCAATTCCAACAAATGCTGTAATAATGACGAACTTTCATTCAACAACTTTATGAAATAATTAATTCCCAAAAGAAAAACAAAAATAGTAGAGATGAAATTGATATTGATTTAATTAAGCCTCTTTATCACGTTCTGGGTTATCCTTTATTAAATTTGATTAATTAAAGTTTGGAAAAAGAAACTGTTCCTCAATGCTTTAAAACATCCACCATAGTTCCTATTCCTAAGGTGATAAATACAAATAGAGTTGATAAACTGATACCTATAAATATGTTGCCATTCAGTGAAAAGGTACTTGAACTGGTTGTGTATAAACAAATTGGGAAGTTTTTAAGTGATAATGATATATTATGCAGTTATCAATCAGGTTTCAGAAACTGGCATTCTTGTGAAATGGCTCTGCAGTTAGTTGTGTCTGACATGAAAAAATATTAGATAAACCAGGAATTGGCATTGGCGCAGTTTTTATAGACCTTCGAAGAGCTTTTGAAATTATAGATCGCAGAATTATTTTATTAAAATTAAAAAGGTATGGGTTTAATGGTTCTGTATATGACTGGTTAGAAAATTATTTATCAAATAGATTTCAAAAAACAAAGATTAATGATAATATATCAGATTTATTACTAAATGATGTAGGCGTTCCCCAGGGCAGTGTCTTGGGTCCTTTACTCTTTATAATATATATATATATATATATATATATATATAAATGATTTGTACTAAACAAATGTAAAATTCATCTATTCGCTGATGATACAATAATTTATTTGTATGGAAAATATTTTGGAACAATAATTCAGACTTTAAACTTAGAATTAAAATTATTAACAGAGAAATTTAAAATTAATAAATTAAAAGTAAATGAAATAAAGTCGAAGTCGATGTTTATTGGGATTAATTTTCTGTATTTAGGTTAAATTTAAATAAAGTCATAAATGACGAAGTCATTGAAAATTTTAAAGAAATTAAATACTTAGGGTTAATCCTAGATAGAGAATTGAAATTTAATAACCACATTGGTTATAATATGTATAAAAAAATTGGTAAGAAAATTGGTTTTATGAGAAGGGTATCACTGTTTTTACTAGACAAACCATTTATAATACACTGATAATATTACCTAATTTCTATTACTGTAGTACTATTATTTATACAGGGTGTTCTAATTTTGCGGGCAATTTTGGGATGCAAGTAACAAAACCAGCTCGATGAAATGTTTGTTTCATAAGGGTATAGCAGTTTAATATTCTGCCCGATGACCTTAAAGCAAGTTCAAGTGTAAACGTGTTAAAAAAAAAATGAAGAATCATGTACAGTTTATATAAACACAATTTGTTTTTTATGTTATTTTTTGTTTGTTTCATAAGTATATTATGTAATTTGATATTCAAAAACCCACTGATTTTATTCATTACCTCGTTTATTATTTTTTTAAAGTATAACTGTTTAGAGTCTCTAATCGTTTTCCTGTGACTTGCACGTTATTTGAAGTAATAATTTAAGATAGAATCACTAGCACCTGAATGGTTTTTTTATCAGGAAACTGATTTTCAACACGGTTATCACTTAAGGTTTTTCTAGTAATTAAAATGTTTTCCTGTAAGAATTTTACTAAAGATAAAATATTTAACAAATTTGTAGGAATTTTAGGAAAAATCAAGCACAAATGCAAAGCCAATTTAAAAAGTACATTAAAAAAGGATATTGTCTCCACACCACGCACATGTTAGAGGCTCTGGATACTCCAACTCATTCGCGATTTCCATAACTGATCTAATGCTTTCTATAAACACTTTCCCAACATTCGCTTTAGGTAATATATTCTTTGCTACCATCTCTTTCAAGAAAAAATTTTGAATAAAAATACTTCTCATTTGAAATACCGTAAGTTCTTTATTTTTACGTTGTTTTAACAAACGGGTCATCCTGTCTACTACCAACCTTATTTCTAGTAAATAGTGAACTAGAACGAACGGTTTCATTTCGTAATTTTTTATGCTTGGAACTGAATTAAAAATCATTTCTGAGAGCTTCGCTATTAACCTTAAGGTTTTTAATTTTGTTAGAGAAAGCGTGTCATAGTTTAAATTGGACGGAAGACCTAACCACGGAAACCGCTTTTCTTTTATACAGATAATTCTGAAATCAAAATTATAAATTAATATATCATAGGTTTCTGGTCAGCAAATGTCTAATAGTCCACAGTACATCAAAACCTGCTTTGCTTGATTACCGCATATTTAAAACTTCGTGAGTGGCTTAATTTTTACGAGTCTACAACAGTTTTCCTGTCCATTTTACGATCTTATGTAATACAATGACCACATAGTTCTTTTGCAACACAATTGAAAGATCATTTGATAATAAATACGAAACATTGCTTGACCGACACAATTAATCCGGCTGCAACACCGGTCACTTTGACCGATTGACTCGTAAACATGAAGCCACTCACGAAGTTTTAATCAAGCAAAGCAGGGGTGGACGTAATGTGGGCTATAAGTTATTTAACAAGATAAAATTTTAAAATATAGTACTGTGTATATTTCATGAAAATAGCTATTTGTGTATTAAGAGCGGAAAGGTTACTTTGCCGCTTAAGACAAAAAGTTGCCGCGCGACGCGCTGCGGAGTGCGGCATTTTATCGTAAGTGGCAAATAGCTTTCTGCTCGAATTACACACAAGATTTTTTCTACGATCACACGATATTAAAAGTATATAGTTTTATGTTGCCGAATTCAAATCTTACTACGTTAATTTGACAGACACGGCTAACTTGACTAGCGAACGAAAAGTATGTTATGTGTATATTGTGTTGACTGCTTACTTGAAGATTAATTTTATGATTAGCATAAAAAATAACTTCCAAGATCGGTTAGAATACTCTTAATCGTGAATTGATGGCTCATCCACTGTTTTAAAAGTTTTAATTTTACAAATAAAAAAAATCAATTTAAAATAAAAAAAAAAAAAATTAGCCAGTGGAGATTGGACTCACGACCTTTAGGTTGAAGGACAAATGCGCTAGGCTCTACACCAACAAGACATGTTAAATATGAGTGTTAAAAGCAGGTCAATTTATTTTTAATATTTTAATTATCATTTAAATATTAAGGAAAATGAGTTTGAATATTAAATGTTCAACTAAAAGATTCAGATTAGTCTACGATTTCTTTTAAAATACCGATTAGCTTTATAATAACAACCTTTTTAATGAAAATAGGCGTGTGCAAAAAGTAACTTTCCGCCTATATGCGGCAATAATGTCAAACTATGACAATTCATGGAAAACGACAACTTTCCAGTTAGATTTGAATGTGCAAAAGCCTGCTTTGGATAGTGATCGTAGAAAAAGTATTTTACAAGGTGAACTCCATGCCACACCATCCAGTAGAAACCACCCCTCTAGTGTTTTTAGTACTGCAATATTGTATAAAACAAATAACTCATCAAAAACCGAATGTTGAATTATATATTGCAGAATAATTATATGTAGTTGTCAGTTATTATTTTATTTATCATTTATGAACAATGACCACAAAATTAAGCAAATTTGAGTTGTGTCCCTGAAAAAATTATTGTTCTTGGAAATCGGGAGGGGGGCACAGAGGGAGGCCGGCAGGGGGAGATTTAACTAAATAGGATCTAAGTTTTTGCTTGAGGACCTTTTCTTTAGACATTGATATCGAAAGGGCTTAATTTTGTTTTATAAAATTGTCCCGGGGCCCGACCTGGCTCTCGGCCTACCTATGTTATTAGTATTATTAGTATAATCATTTGAAACCTATAATGCAAAATTTATTTTTTGTAAAATAAAATAATAAAATTTGATTTTACGTATGAATTGCATTTTTCTTTAAATTTGTCTTTGGATTTCTGATGAAAAAACTATCTGATACGCTCATGGGGATTACAACTGCCAAACGATTGTATATACTGGCTTCAAACAAAGCCTAAGCTTCTAGAAACAATAGAAATTTTCACTGAAGTATTAAAACCACCACCAACATTATTTTTTAAAAATTGCACCCTGATTTTTGTTTTTTAATAAATATGATACAATTTTTTACCCTCATTTCAGTAATAATTTTTCTTTTTTAGGCTTGAATGGTCAAAATTAAAAAAAAAATAAACTGTGTTAAGTAACATAGAAATTATTTTATTAAGTAACAGCCTAAGTTAATAAATAAATAAATGTTCATTTAAAATTGTTAAATAAAATAAACTCAATCTTATAACTTATTATTAATGTCAAGCGCAGATCTGGGAAGATTTGGGGGCGGGTTAAATAATTTTATTTGTCGCCGCCATCTTGTTTTTTTTGCTTTCTCGTAAACTATCGAGGTAACTTAATACATTTCAGTATTTCTTCGAGCAGCTCGGGGGTAACGGGTAATTACCTTTTACCCCTCTTGTATTAAGTAAACACAAAAAAAAAATAAATATTCAAATGCACTTGCCTTACCTAAGAGCTTCAAAACAATCCCAATAATCAACAATACTGTCTTTTTCATTTTTCCAGATTAGTTCAAAAGGTTTTAAAGCAATATTGTGATACACAAATACATGGACGTCATTTTTTGTTTTATAAAAACTTTGTAAGTCCCAAGGATAAGCCAGTATGCAACACAAAATCATATTTTTAGAAAAGAAGAATCCATGAGTTCGATATTTTGCCATATCATATTTCAGTGAAATTGGTAATTTTTCAATAATTATTTTGTTATTTTTAACTTCTATAGATAGCTCTGTTAATATTCCTGGCAGAGACAATACTAATATTTTGTTATTATAATGGTGTAAACCTAAAAAAAAAAAAAACATTTGATTTATATGTTTATTTTCTATGACAACCAAATGTTTATCTTAATACCAAGATAAATGCAATATTCCCTTTGAAAAGAATTAGATATTTAAAAAAATTGGTACCTACCTGTTATATAATATTCCTGGATATATTCTGAAGTAGAATCAAATAATTCTCCATCTTGATTCAGTCCATAAATAATTAAAACTCTTTGTTTAACAACAATTATAAAGGTAAAATGATTGTAAATCATAACACTGACTTTGTCAATTTTTATTTTGTCAGATTCAGACAAAAATATTTTTTCTGTTTTGAAAACTGCTTCGTCTTCATTTAAATTTGTTATATGCACAATATTTAGTTTTCCATCTATATCACTAACAAATAATCCACCACCTAAAAGCATTGATTGTAAGGTACTAATATATTATCAAAAATAAATGCAGCATAAATAGGTCCATAAAGTTAGCAGCGTCAAATGCGAATTGTTATAAAAATAAGTTGGTATTTGTTTGTTTACGATTGTCCAACAAACATTTTCGTTTGTCCAGCCTTCAAAAAAAAGTTATAGCAAAATTAAAAATTTGAGCCAAATTTCATATCAGCACCGCCATAAAATTTTTTTGATAATTTCAAAGTTGCATTCGATTGTCTACGATTTTTTAAACAACCAAAAGTTTGTTTGTCGACTCCCTAAAACCGAGATATTTAAAAATTAAAAACCAAAAAGAATGCAGATGGTCTTAAGGGGCAACCTTAATAAATAAATAAAAATAAATTTCATACAAATTAAATACGGCAATCGTTTATCCAGACCTTATTTTTGTTTATCCAACAGAAATAAGTTATTAGTTATTAACAAATAAAAAACTCAAAATATGAATAAATATTAATATAAGTACTTCTGATGACAATTTATTAAAACTAACTATTGCAACCATTTGTCCACACATTATTTTCATTTGTCCAGGCCCAATTTTTGTTTGTCCACCCAACAAAAAAATAAAAAACAAAATTCCAAATTTGAGCAAAAGGACGCGCACTTTTCTTATAAACGAGAGTACCGTCAAAATGTCTGAATTTTTGATGAGTTAAATTACTTGATGTCCCCATCAAAAGTGTCCATGGGCCCAATCCTATCCTATGACTAGATTTTGAGATACAGGGTGTTGAAGCACATGTCTAAAAGAAAAACATAGCACTTTAACTTTTAAATACCTGACTTTCTTTTTCAATTTTAACTACCTAGAATTTTTATAGGGGACAAAAATCTGGCAGGGTGTTTTTTTTGTCATATATTTTTCATTATTTATGTATTTTCTTTTCAGAGAAGAATTCCCCATTGTAGACAAATTGTGGACAAACAAATGCCAACTTATTTTTATAAAAATTCTCATTTGGCCGTGCTAGCTTCAAGGACCTAAGGATTTTTTGTATGTAATGTCAATATAGTCCAATTTTATAAAAGTTATATTTTTAAACTCAGCTCATAGAGACCTTTCAAGAGGTATATACTACACCAAGTATGTGATGTCACAATATGAAATAGCCAAAAAAATATAAGTATGTTCAACAAACTTATAGTATAGTATGTGGGCAAAGAAAAATTAATTTTACTCAATGTCAATGTATTAGAGTCAATTTTATTATTCAGAAATGTATGCAAAAATGATGCATGGTTACATCCATTAGAAGTTCTACTTCAAAAAGTTTTATGTGTATGGGGTAAAATTATTTTAGAGCAATGTACTAAGAGGATCTCTTTAAATAATATAGTATAAAATACTAAATACATAGATAGATACAAACCATATTCACTGCTTTGATGCCAGTACAATGTTGTAATTCTTTTCAACTGGGTACGGTATCTACCCAAAAAAGTAGGTATTGACATTTCACCGAACTTAAAATATCTTGCATTCAACCTCCAGAGACTGATGTCTCCATTTAAATGACCACAAAATATCACAGCTGATTTGGTATTATTAAATTGTAATAGGTGACTCCAAGTAAATGCTAAGATAAAAAAAGATAAAAAATTAAAATGCACAAACAAAAGCGAAGTTTTTAACATTAAAATATACTTACCAGATGGTGTCACACAATCAATTCTTTTCTTGTATTCTTCCAATTTCATTAGTATTCCAAGCCTAAAGTTATCCTTCCAATTTGATTTTTCACACTCTATAATAGCGGAAGTTACATTTGCTACAGCTACATACTGGACTTCCTCAATGTCATTTAAATATTTCATATAAACTTCTAAGCTATACATATTCGTTAGTGCTGCTAAAAAGCAATCATTTTTATTAGCTAAACCTTTTGGAGACCATTCAGCATAAATAGCTGCAGGTGCAATAGGTTTAGTATGTTTAAGGTTTGCGGAATATTCAACCTTCATTACTAAGTCATAAACCTCTTCTTTAGGTAATTCGTGATGAAAACTATTTAAGTCCAGCTTAATGTTGCCACAAGGAGTAAAATTTGATAGATTTATAAAGTGTTTAGTGCTTAAAAACCTGGGTAACTCATTTAAAAGCGCCCCGGTAAATGCTAAAATATAAATTCCTAAGTCATTTATTATAAAAAACCGATCGTCCTCTGAATAACTGCATGCAAAATTAATTCCTAATTGGTTCTTTAATTTAAAATGGTCCAATAACTTTAATTGTACACTCATTTTTAATACTTAATCTTAAAATATCAAAGATAAATCACATTATAAATAAATCACAACAAATAGCAAGGTTAAGTGAGGTTAAGTTTTGACTTTTGACATTTTCTTCTTCTTCAGTTGGTTCTTGTTCTATTACTGTGCACGACAAAAGAAATTCGAATAAGGCTCCGTTTGGACACAGCGGAATCCTCGCGGTTGTAACCGCGTTCTTTTGAACCGTTGAAAAATTGCATTTGTTTAGACAGACGTCCGCAGCGTGCCGATGGACGGGAGATGGGACATACTGTTCACACAGTACATTATAGTTCAAAAATAAAAGTCGAAGAAGCTATATGCATTTGGAATACCTTAAGAAAATAAACAGTAGAAGAGAAAGGAAAATAAGTATTAGATGATGTCAAGAAAGTTTGACCTCAAATTTCGCAGTTTTATTGGTTCCATATTGTTAGTCTTTTTTGACCCCATCTATAAACAGCTGAGTGTCGAAGCTATATCCATTATTCACGTCCAAACATCACTATTTCCGCAAAACTTAGAACACTTATTATGTGCACTCATCAAAGACTCAAAAAAACTTCCCTTTTTAAAAGATATCCTTGAGATTATGTTTCTGATAGAAATAATGTACAAATATACCATAGAAATAATATAGAAGACCAATATAAAAATAACACTTAAGCAGAAATTGAAACATACTGTGCATAAAAACGCGTCTCTGCGCCTGACATCGCAAAATAGTGTGTCTAGAAGCATGCGCAGTATGCATTTTTCCCTGTAGTGTTGCCAAGTATATTAAACATACCTAACACAAAAGAATTTCAAATTTATTTATTTTTAAATTATATGATTTAAACACTTTATATCTACGAAATATCGCCACAAAATAACTTATAAACAATTAAATAATCAACTAATAATATTTAAGTGTAATTACATTCCCAAAAATATATACAAATACGGTATTAATGTTCAACAAGCGATTCACCTACAAATTCAATATTGGCCTGGCAATACCACTTAAATCCCGAGTTTCAAGACTATATAACGCTGCCCTTACAGGACCGTTTGTGCTATTTTGGCTTGAGTTTGTGGTTTACTATTTAATTACACAGTGAAAGTGTCATTTTATTTTTAGTTTTGTGTAGCACTTAGTTAAATCCTAGGTACAATAAAAGACATTTTTATATTGGCTAATAAAAATGTATTCAATGTATTTAGCAGCTGTTATATTTATTACAAGATTTATGTCTAAACCTACCTAAGAATTATGTAAATAGAGACCTTTATATTTAAATACAGGCTGCCCAGCGACGGGGAGACATTATCAGTATCTGACAAAACAATGAATGATTTTTTGTTAAAAATTGTTAAAAATAGTAAACAGGTTATGATCTTTCCATCTAAAATATTCTGACAGTTCTGTTATTTCCGTTTTATTTTAAATAAGATGCCACTTCGATTGTTACTGATACTGCGATGGAACCTGAAATGTTGCTTATTTGGAATATGTACCTTTACACAACGCTATCGACGTTAGAGACCGTGTTTCAGTCGGGAATACTTTAAAATAATTGGAAAATGAACCCCTATTAAATTGTACCTTTACCTAACATTTATGGTATCACTGGCCGAGTTGGCATCGGGTGTATTTTCAAATGTAGAAACTGAAAATTAACCCTATTAAATTGTATCTTTACTTAATATTTGTGACATCACTGGCGGAGTTGGCATGGGGTAATCTTTCAAATACAGGTTTCAAGGGATTCCAAAACATAAATCTCAACGAACTTAGAAACTCTTCTGTCACTCAATATTTTAATCGTTACTTCTTCACTTTTTGGTTGGCACAACAATTATTTACATTTCTTCATTCTTTACCGCGTACGAACCAGTATGGTTTAAAGAAATTTAAAAAAAACCTACTTTAAAAATGAAGATGTTAATGATTTTGTCATGGATCCCATCTCCAGATCTTGACTAAATGTGTATAGAACTATTCCTTTTCCAACCAAAAGAGAATCATAGAAATCGGGCAACGTAGTAAAGAATTATCGCTCAACATACATAAACAAATATTTCAACGAATTGAGAATATCCTCCCATTTTGAAGTATGTTAAAAAAAATTGTTAATAAAAAGCAAAGGTGGGCGTGAACATATATTATAATGTATATAAAATGATAGATGTAGTCAGTTTAGAAACTTTTATAAATAAACTGTGGAAATAGGTATCGAGAATCTCGATTTTGAATCGGAGGAAGAGTATTCTATGTAATTTAGAATGAAAGCTGATCAAAATGAAACAGATGAACGACACGCTAATGTTATTGACGAATTTCTTCAAACGTTTTCTAGTTTTCCGAAAACTGGATAGTTCGAAAATCATTTTCGTCGTTAAAGCGCCTCTTGTTCCCAAAAAGGTACACGCCTGTCAACAATCACCGTTCAATAAAAAAAGTATTAGATACAAAACGCTTCGTATTGTAAGGCCAAAATATATTTAGAAATCAAAAGAGTTATATAAACAAAAAAATCATTATAAGTGAGATAACTACCAAAATAATGATTTAAAGTTTTTTCTTATTATCTATAAAATAGATTTACAATGTGCTGGTGTGGAATGTATGTTATCTTCGACTAAAAACTTTAAATCTTTGTATCTTTAAATCTTTGATCGAAAACAATCCATAAATTGGTTTAGACTCTATATAGAATGTTTCTAGTAAGCAGCGACTAACTTTTATTATGGAACCGAAAGACCCTTTTAAAAGGGTTCAAAATTAAAATAATATATGTACCAAGTAAATGTAGTGTAGTATTTTTTAATTTTCAATCTTGAGAGATGCAGACATCTTTGGATAATTTATATTGAAAATGGTAACATGAAAGGTTTTCTGTGTAATTGTAAGTAACGACTCATAGTCTCGGCTGACAAAATATAAAAAAATATCAAATATAATGTTCCTGGGCGAAACGTAACTGCCCCCTATTTTGTACTCCCCAGATTAAATTAACTTGTAGCAAATAATACTAAATCAAATAAGATGTCAGGTCACAAGCAAATCTCGTGACTATAGCACCTAATGATTGCCGAAAATTAACTAATTCATATTTTATGCTATATATCTTTCTTAATAAGGAACTTTGAGAACCATTTTTACCTTACTTGAATTTTTTTCAACGTTTTTTATATAGATCATCTCTACAAATGTACGACTTCCAACCTAAAACATCGTGTGAACCATTTGTTCGATCAATAAAAAACTTGCACCGGTCCTGTTAGAGCCAGCACCGTATGCGCATGAGCTCCGACACACTATTTTCTCCTTATGGTTTCATTTTTGATATGTGGAATTGGTTTTCTATACTATTTCTATGGAATATACCTACGTTTTGTAATCAATTTCTTTGTCGTGGAGTCAAATCTTTATACATAGGTGTATTACAGATTTTTGGCTAGTAAACCTAACATTTATAGGTTAAAGTGACCATATTTTGAAAAGTAGAAAGCGGGACAAATCTCGAAAACGTGAAAATCTTTCGACGAATTCTATTTGCAGTAGTGACTATTTGGTTCACTGAAGAGCAAAAAAGGAAATATTTAATTGAATGCGTTGTCACGTAACAATAAATTGTATTTTTAGGTGGCGTGGCTTAAATGAAATAATTTTTTTCATCGGACAAAATCAGAACGCATGTTAAATTGGGACTACTGGTTTAAATTGGGATTGTCCCGCCTAAATTGGGACGGATGGTCCCTTATTCTAGGTATTACTAACCCTGGACCTTTTAGGGTTGTTTTCGAGGTGTTGAGAAACAACGAATAGGAAAAGAAAACAAAATATAATAAATTTAATGAGAAAAATGAAAATTACTTTTATTATTCGAATAGACACGATTAAATTCACTACAATTAGTTACAAAAGCACTATTATTATTACTATTACAAAAATTCCAAAATCTAAAATTTTGACCAGAATCATGTTTATAAGGAACACAATTATCCCAATACTGCCCGTAGCTTTCTTCGCACGTTGTCATTTGTTGACCGTATTTATTATAATCTTGAACATTGTTGGCATATCTACAATTTTGCAAATCGTTTTCATAATAAGATCTGTAGACATGTCTACTTAAAAATGTACTGGTTAACAAATTTGCTGTTGTTTGACTGAGTTCGGAGCTCAGGATATTAATGAACCTCATCATTTCCATGGGTCTCTCTTCTTGCAGAGTCTGAGTGAGCGCTAAAATATAGTTCCTGGCCAATCTGAGTGTTTCGATCTTTGAAAGTTTTTGAGGTACTGATGCATTGTCTGAGAGGACTGTGCGAATTGGTATATGACTGAAAATAAAGCAGAAAGTATTATTTAAGTTTAAGGATGTGTAGGAATTAGACGATATTGGGTTATTGATTTTTTATGATCAATTCTTTTAATATGATTAAGCTTGTATTGGCTTATTTATCAACGTAAATATATATCAGGTATATGTAATAACGACCTACTATCAGGACTTCTGAGTCATATATACATGAACCAAAAAATATTCGTGAAAGAAGGACCTATACACACTACGTTTCAACCACCTATGTATCTGTATGGCAATATGGGACAATGTAGTAGGTGATTTAGGTCATTAATACTTAGGTTTTTCTTTTATTTAAATGGAAAAGGCAATGCACATCATGAACAAAATTGGTTAAATATATGGCAACTAAATTCACTACTTTGGACGCACAAAAAATTTTGGAAAAATAAAACAACCATTAATATAATTATAACTACTATTGCAGAAAATATACTATGTACATCAGAAAACAGGCAATTCCTTGAGATGGATTATTGGAGAATATATGTCCAATATTTATCCAAATGTTCTTAAACAATTAATTAGTGTAAATTCCTTGAAAATTCAAAAATCACCCCTACGAAATATTGAAAACTATTTTTGAACCCCCAAGGCACAGTTTATAGCTTAAAAGAATCAGTTCTCACTCTGCGTCGGCACTTTTGATCTCAATGTTCCAGTTTATACACTGCGCAACTCTGATTTGTATCCCTGGCGCATACAGAATCAAATCTAACCAATACAATTAA